TGAAATGTTCCATCATTGCACGACACACCTGCGCGTAGAATGTAAGTCACTTGGAAAAAACGTTATGAGGTCTACAATAAGTTTGAAAATTGCTATGGCAGAAGTGGCTTGAGCATCCATCCTCTCATAGGCTGTAAGACTAATGGAACATGTGCATTTCCTAGGCAAAAGAAGGTTCGGGCTGGTTTGAATGACCGTTGTCAAAATGACATTCACATGCTCCCTGGGGATTTCATGTTATGGTCAATGTTATGGCCCTTCACAAGCTAATGATGAAAAGTAGTTAAACTCCACCTCACGAATGGAAATACTCAGATAATAGGTTAGACCAGATCTTATTCCCAAACTATTGCCAACTAATAGCATTATCGTCGCATGATGATATGCTCGCAGGTATTCCAAGACTGATAAAATTGCATTTCATCCCATGCAAACAGAAAGCAACGAAAGTGTGGACAGAGTTGGGAAATTCTTGCGTACATGCAGTCCACTCCTGATTCCGCCATCTACATTTAGACATTAGTGTATTCAAATCCATTGCCTACAATTCCTCTAATTTTATTTGATTTAGAAATACAGCTAATGCAAGGAATGCAGTGTACTAACAATTGTTATTAGTAATAGCGATAGAGCTGAGAGAGAGGCTGACGAAATTGCATCTGGGTGGGGTGGGGGGGGGGGGGGGGNCCCCCCCCCCCTCCCCCCACCCTGAGATGTCTCCATGGATTACTCCACAGCAGAAATCAGAGTCTCATGAGATATTGGGTTATGGTGATCATAGTGGACACAATCATGTTGACTAAGGTCTAACAATTCAACTTTTGGTAATCTTAATAGGCTAATGGACTCAAGTATTGAAACTGACAATGGTAAGATTAGAAATGAAGTTGGTGTCTTAATGCCACTTAGAGAACACATAATGTGCAATGAGTGCATTAAGAATGTGAAATAAGACCTGAAATATTTCCATGAAAGCACATTAATTCTATTAGTGGAATTTTAGCAATTTCAATTTTGAACTCACCAGGTTTGAGACAACAATATTTCATTCATCTGAGTATATGATTCTGCCAAATTGTGCAGAGCACATGTTTTCACATCTATTTTACAGGTGAACCAGAAATTTCGTGTATTCCGACAGGTCATGGGCCATATATGCCTGGTATATAAATGTTTGCCACACCTTATGGACCAACGTATTTACAATCTTCAAGAATGAGGTGTCATTTCAACCTCTATGTGACTTCTTGTTACCACGACACAGTCTCATACACGTAAGTATCCACATTATTTACACTCTATTTGGAAAATTTTTACTCATTCAACCTGTTTTGTCGCTATTTTAAATTTCTGCATAACGTTGGTGGTCTATTTTACTTACCATATATAAGGAGATATTGAATTTATCAACTATAAGAAAGAAGTCGTTCATTCAGTTTACTTAAAGGAGCCCCCCCCCCCACCTTACGACTAACTGACAAATTATTAACTATTTCTGAATTCATTCCATGGCAGTTTGAAGACATCCTTGGCATTGATTAAAGTAGACTTCCTCCATCAGGTGAAGTAAATGTTGCTGGTACCTTCAATGTCGATCCGGCCATTCTCAGCACTATACGCGTTTGAAACACCCGATGACGTAGTGACACTAATATCTCAATTACATTGTGTTGGGGCAAGGAAAATTATCATTATTACAAATAAATTTCCTGCATAAACACTTCTCAGCAAATAATTTCCATCCGCGAGTGTTGGCAAAATCACGTGCAGTATCTTTGTACAAGTAAATGGCAATGTCAATTCATGCACAAAGTGCAGTATGGGTCAAGACTCAATGATTTTAAGGAGAAACACGTTGTTCAAGTGAATATGCTAACGATTTTTCTCTAAATGTGTGCATGGGAATTAAGTAAAAGTAATTAAAAAATACACAATTGTCTGCCCATCTTCCGCAAACCCGTATATGAGTGGCTTATGAATATTAGGATGTGAAATAACTTGAAGTGATAGATTGTTAGGCATGAAATGATTGAAATTGCATGAAAAAATCTAGATAAAATAAGTTTTAACTGCATGTGCACTTTTTCCTTTCATACAGAACTTTCAGTACAAAATGTTCAACTGTGCCAAATTGAGAAGACCCGGGCAAGACTTACCTATGACGAAGCTGACTTTCAAGACCTGAAGTTGCGTTTCATTAGACTCCTCTTTCGAGGCTGCTTAACGTTTTCTACCAAATTCTGCCCACCCAGTCGACAGGGGTAGAGAGAGGGAAGATGCCAACAAATTGCGGATTCAGTTTTACTTATGAAAATAATTCTCATAAAAGGCTGAGCATGCGGGCGCGTGGAGTCACCCCACGCACGCACCCACGCACTTGGACAAACACGTGATTGAGACTGTGTCGTGGCAACAAGAAGTGTTACATAGAGGTATAAATGACACCTCATTCTTGAAGATTGCAAATACGTTGGTCCATAAGGTGTGGCAAACATTTATATACCAGACATATATGACCCATGACCTGTCGGAATATACGACATTTCTGGTTCACCTGTAAAATAGATGTGAAAACATGTGCTCTGCTCAATTTGGCAGAATCATAAACTCAGATGAATGGAAATATTGTTGTCTCAAGCCTGGTGAGTTAAAAATCGAAATTGTTAAATTACCACGAGTTGAATTAATATGCTTCCATGGAAATATTTCAGATCTTATTTCACATTCATAATGCACTCATTATACACTATGTGTTCTCTAAGTGGCATTAAGACACCAACTTCATTTCTAATCTAACCATTGTCAGTTTCAATACTTGAGTCCATTAGCCTATAAAGATTACCAAAAGTGGAATTGTTATACCTCAGTCAAAATAATCGTGTCCACTATGATCACCATAACCCAATATCTCTTGAGAATCTGTTGTCTGCTGTGGTGTAAGCCATGGGGACATCTGAGGGGGGGGGGCAACGTTGAGCACTTCAACGCACAGTTGTATGAAGAAGTCGCATAAAAATAAAATGTGCACGTACTATTGCCGTCTAATGCCAACCCCCCCCCCCCCCCCCCACCCAGATGCATATTTGCGCAGAGCAAATTTGTCAGTCTCTCTATCAGCTCTGTCGCTATTACTAATAACAGTAGTTAGTCATCTTATTAGTACACTGCGTTCCTTGCATTAGCTGTATTTCTAAACTCAAATGGAATTAGGGGAATGGCAGGCAAGTGTCTGAATGTAGATGGCGGAATCATGAGCGGACTGCATGTACGCAAGAATTTCCCAACTTTGTCCACTCTTTCATTGCGCTTTCATTTGCATGAGAAGAAATGCAATTTAATCAGTCTTGGAATACTTGTGAGCATATCATCATGCGACGATAATGCTATTAGTTGGCAATAGTTTGGGAATAAGATCTGGTCTAACCTATTATCTGAGTATTTCCATTCGTGAGGTGGGGTGGAAATACTTTTCATCAATGGCTTGTGAAGGGCTTCTTGTGCACATATGATTGCGCCAGTGATTGTCATTTTGGCAAAAATTATTCAAACAAGCCCCAACCCTCGTTTGCCAAGGAAATGCCTTTTTGCAAAATAACACGTTGACACGTCAAAATGGCAATTCTCAAAACTTAGAAACATCAACCTGTTTCACCTGTTTCAAAATATTTTGTCTTAATTATCCATTTTTGAGCAACGTCTGTGGTCAGTTCCACTTAAACTGAGTTGATGTTATGTCGAACAACACCTTGAAAGTAGTCTTTCCTGCAGTTCCATTCATATTGCTGAGCCTTACTTTCAGCAGACAAGCCATAACCTGTTCCCGAATTCACTCTAAGGCGATTTGTAGGTAATCTTGGCATCATTTCAAGTATACGGCTTACGGCAACAGTAGCTCGTGTAACTGGAACTTTGATCTCGCTTTTGAAACACTCAATGCAATTTCAACTGCAGAGCTTTCAAACGAGCGCAACCTTTTCTTATTGTCTGCGTGCATAAAACGCTCCACTGCGTATAAACCTCATCAATACGCCATATCAGTCAGATTATATATTAGAATCAATTTGTGGCCACTGAGTTAAGATACTTGCAAAAAACGAGGATGCCATGTTGGCAGCCTAGTTTCAAGCACAATTTGAACACTGCGACCCCTTACACTTTTAACTGACTTACGAATTGCATCAATTACAATTGCCTCCAAACATGTCAACATCGCTTATTAGTTCGAATCATTTTTCAACAGTATTAAGCCTCATGGGTGACGCGGTAGTCCTGTGATATAGATTTGGTCAAATCGGAAGTAAGTTCTCTTCCGCAATCTGACCAGGCAATTTCGTTTTGAATTCTAGTTTAAGAAAATGATAGTCACACCTTCCATGCTCTCTCAATTTGAAAACTTAATATAAATCGAAGGCAAGCAATTAACTTTTCCTTGTTGTCAACTGTGTCTCGTTAAGGTTTATCCAAAAAGTTGCAATTGGTACTATAATTCGATGTGATTCAGTTTCTTATACTTCACCTATCTCAAATCACTGCTTGAACTCCAGACTTCAGTAATAAGTTTTTTGACTTGGCTTCCACCACTTCTCAACAAATATTTATAACAAAATGGAGGCGTTTTGATAGGTATCATTAGCCTTTTAGTTGACTTCGGGCTTCGCAGAGAGGAGGAACAGACAAAGTCAAATAAATTCGTGGGGGAGTGGGGGGGGACAGAAGAGATTGATTCAGAGATGTAAAAGACACAGGCACAAAGGCAGAGAAAAAGGTAAGGTGAGTACTGTGGATGTTGTGGAATATGGCATACAGTAAGATCGTGATAGTTTGAGGTCAGCAGCTAACTGCTGGTTTATGGGCTTTTTTGTCGTATGTGTACACGTTCCCCAGTGTGAACCACGTGGAGGTGAGTCTTTCGCGCTCCTACGATCTAACATTGATTTAAGTATTCTTTTTTCATTTGCTATGGAAAACTAATATAATTTTATAATTTAAGGTATTTCCTCATGCACATTTTCAACAAACCAGACACAGTGTTCACTGGACAGGTACGTCAAGCTTGTTTGAAAGCGAAAATAGATGAAGGATTTCGATCCTGGTGCAAATTTTTATCTGTTATTCTTTGTAGGAAACTTATGTCTGGGAGTTGTACCAGAAACGTTATTTGGGTTTCTCCCCAATTGGAAATTGTTTCCGCAATCAATACGAAGAGGAACTTCAAGCAAAATAGTCTTGGAACAACCGTGAAATCACTTTCTTTCACTTTCGCCTTTCGAAAAAATCTCATTTTCGAACCCTCCCCTCCCCTCTCCCCTCCCCCTCCCTCCCTCTCTCTCCTCCCCACTTTAACGTATAAAGAGATACATGCTTATGTAAGTAGATAGATTCTAATTTATTCGAAACAAAAGAATTACTTTCGCTTGGACTATTTTTTCCCCTCGACAGGAATGGATGTGATTTGTATTTCATCTATTTTCTCCTCCAACTGTGTGCGTCATTTCTTTTGCGGTCGCGTAATTATTTTCTTTTCCTTTGGGAAAAAATGAGCAATTTGGTCATATAAAGTGATTTGTTTTGAGCGCGTGTATTTGTCCAAGCGCGTGGGTACGTGCGGAGGGTAATTCCACGCGCCCGCATGCTCAGCCTTTAATGAGAATTATTTTCATACGTAAAAGTGAAAAGCACTTTTTTGGCATCTTCCCTCTTCCCCTTTCCATCTGTCCCTCTTACTATTTGCTTGCCTGGTTTTCGGAGTGTAAAAGTCCATGAAATTCCACCTTTGAGTTTAAAGATGTCATTGAAAGCAGACTTCGCTAGTATTTCGAAAAGGAAACTATGCGCACTGTCAATCGATTATTCTTCCTTAATTAAGAAGGAACAGTTAAATTTTCAATCATTTGTCCATTCAGATGCGCGTATTACTCATAGCTTTATTAAGTAGTAATAATAAGTAGCAAGTTAGTGACCCGAATATGATAATTGTATTGACAGTAGGAGGAAGATTTTAACTATTTCTAAATGGCAACTGTTGGAAGTTAACTTTAGTAAAAATAAGCACGTCATTTGTAACACTAGAAAGACTACCTTAGAGGAGTTTCTTTTCAAATTCGGCCAATTGCATTCTGTTTGTGATCATTTTCTTTGGCCTAAATTGACTTTGCATTGTTCAACAGATAAGATCAAAGACCAGTGCTAAACCAATGATTGACAAATTATTAACTATTTCCAAAATCACTCAATGCCCGTTTGTAGACATCCTTGGCATTACTTCAAGTAGACAGCTTACGCCAACTGTAGCACATGCTGCTTGAACCTTCTACGTAGATCTCACCAATCTCATCACAACTCGCATTCGAAGCCCACAATAGCATATTTGATCTATTAACTTAACTGCAAAGCTTTTGAACCCATAGGTTAATTTCAAATTAAGGACACCAGAATGGACAATAAGCCTCCTGAGTGTGTAGTGTCTGTCTGTTCATACAAGTATCAAGTTGCGAGCTCTTTGTTGTTAAATTATTTGGAATACTGGTTAGGCCTTCTGCTAAGCAAATTCGAACTCTGAGTCCCTTGCACAATTGACTGCGTTCCCCCGAATTACTTAATGACTTTGCAAATATGTCCCTGCCAATGTGTAAATGTCAATGACACTGATGGATTGTGCAATTGGTCAGTTGGAAAATGCAGTTCTCACGACGAAGTAGACAGCCAATACGGTTAAACAAATGATTTAAACTGAACGGTGTGCACGGGTGTCACATTTTCTAAGCGATGCACAAAGCAATTAACTCAAACAGTTTGTAATGATCTCAATAGTGAACAAGTAAATTGGCTCAGGAATAATCGGTTGTGACCGAAATTTCACCCAAACACGTTCGTTTTTAAGTGTTCAAATATTAGAATGTGGGGTGCGCGATAGACTTACCTCCTCGTGGTGCACCCTGGACAACGTATTTTCTTACGGCAAAAAAGTCTATCAATCGGCATACGTTTTTGACTTCGATTAATTATGATTAGCTTTGAAAAAGGCTATAAGAAAAATCGCCCTCGTCAGGGCGAATCACAATGTCTTCAGACCCTCCAGTGGAATGCTGGAGAAATGTCTCCGGACAAAAAGATCCAAATACAGAAAATCCTGCAAACCTATGATGTAGATATATTCACAATTATGGAAGCTAACATTTCGGATGACAAACTGAAGTATTACCAATTCCCAGGTTACACCCTGTACAATCTACCTAAATACCGGCAAGTTGCAAGTGGAATTCTAACTGGAGTAAAAGATGGCCTAACCTCACACTACGACCTAATCAAGAGTATGGGCTCGACACAAGACAAATGTGAAATAATCAGATTAAATGTTTGGAAATGTCAAAACCAATTCAAGATATATGCAGTCTATAATCCTCCCCAGAATTGTCCAAACTTTGACTTTCTGAACATCTCACACAAAACCATAGTATTAGGAGACTTCAACGCCCACTCCACCAGATGGGGCTACAAGAATACAAACATAGCTGGAAAGGAAATTGAAGACATGCTAAACAGCAACACTCTGGAACTTATTTATAGCAATGAGGATCCGGCTACATATTTGCACTACAATGGATCCAGAACAACTCCTGATTTACTCTTGGCTTCAAGCGACATCAGTGGGCACACACACCGCAAAATAATTGACGATCCTGGTTCTGGTCACAAACCAGTCATCGCTAGTATTACCTTCGGCAGCAAAAGCATGTTAAGGAAAGTGCCAACTNCCAATAATGTTGTATTGCTGTGAGCCACTCATTACAGCCACAGAGGTGACTCTCAAACCCCTCGAGAAGGCACACAACCAAGCATTACGACTAATTACTGGAGGGATAAAATCAACACCCATTGATGCAATGCTCCAAGTTACAGGAAACACCACAATAGGCTCCCTTATCAAAGAGAAGGCCTTGATCCTGTATGAGAAACTACTGCGCATTCCCATGGACCAGTTCTTCAGCACCTATGAGAATAGACCAAGACATCTGAAAACGCAATCTGGTCTAATACAGAAAGCCATAGAACTGAAGAAAGCATTACAAATCGATGATCAACCAAAAAGCCTCTCTCTCCCCATGAACCCATTAGCAGACATTGATGTAGTGTGTCGCACCCAACTGCTCGACTTCTTCAGGAAATCAAACACTCCTCCCCAGCAAATGCGCTCACTGGCCCTTGAGACAATCAATGGCAACTATCCTGCAGATCAATGGCTCCAAGTCTTCACTGATGGGTCATACATAGGAAACCAAGCAAACGTTTGGTGCAGGTGTCTATTCTGAACTCTTCTCTTTCTACGCAGCAGCGGGACATAATAGATCCGCTTTTGAAGGAGAAATAGAGGCCATTAGGATAGCACTACGCCAACTATGTTGCCTGGATACGAAATTCACCAAAGCGGTGATACTTTCGGACACACAGTCAGCAATAAACTCTATTGGAAACAGAGAGACACCCAAAACAGCTGAGATAAAGGAATGTAGAAAACTCTATGAGCTGCTGAGAGAGAAAAACAAAAGTGGTCCTACAATGGATTCCTGGTCACTGTGGCATTAAAGGCAATGAGATTGCTGACACACTTGCTAAGAAGGGGACAACAATTGTGCAAGGCATAGACCGGCCCATGTCTTTCCACACAATGAAGACCTTAATTAGGAGAGAATTCCAGACCTCAATTACAACGAACTCAAAGCTCGAACAAAGGAGAAACAGTGGACAGTGGCACTCTCCGACATAGCTGACTGGCCAAGAATCGAAGCCGTTGCTGAGTTTAGACTACGTACCGGAAACGATTGCTTGGCAAAACACCTTCACAGATTGGGAGTATACACTCGACCCACATGCCCTCTATGTAACCTACATGAGGAAACGGAGAAGACCCACCTGATTCGATGTCCAGCCCTAAAGACAAGGACGGAAAGCCAAAGATACTGGGAAGCAAGAAGACTGCTAATGAACTGCTATTAATTAACTGCTATAAATGCCCCCCCCCCCTCTTGGGTGAAGCTGAAGTCAAAGATTAAGGGCTAATGATAAATATCATAAAGCCTGCCATTTGAAATAAATAAATAAATATTAGAATGTTCAAAGACTTGAAGAGATAATTGTTTTGAACATATATAAAAATTCCAATTGCTGGAATTACTTGGGAAAAATTGTAAAAGTGCATATGTGTCTTCTCTCTTTCAATAGCAACTATCTTTTTACTCCACAAAATGTTTAACTGCTTCAAAGTTGGCACAACTGGGCACGCCTTACATGGGATGTTGTTGAATCTCCAGGGCCACAAGCAATTAACTATTTGATTAATTACACAGAAAATGACTCAAAATTCACTTTGAAACATCAGAGTGTAAAGCGGCGATTCCATTTCATAATGAAACTTTAGAGGCAACGGTCAGGGCCACCTATACACCCTGTAAAGGACACGAGACAATAATACAAAGAAATATTTCAGAATCAATTGCAATTCGAAAGACTCACGAAAGTACGTTCTTAAATTAAATTTATGAGACACAATTTGAGTATATTAATTGGATTGAGCAGAGTGTATGGGATAATGCGTCTATTAAAGAAATCCATCTCTAGCAAAATTACTAAAAATGTTATGTGTTTCCACTGCTAGATGTTTGGCATCTGGAAAGAAGGACTATTATTTTGAGTAGAATTCATTGCCACATGAAAAGATATGCGTAGAATTGGATGTTCTGGTTCGGGTCACCTGCTCTTAATTCGATTTGATATTCAGGGCATGGACTGACAGATTGAAGGAAAGAATGGTGGTTGGGGTGGGGTGGGGTGGGGTGAGGGGGTGTGGAGAGGGTGGATACAAGGGAAAGGGAGATAGGGACCAACAGAAGAGTTCTTTGGAGCAAGACAATAAGGAAGACTCTGTCTTTCGGCGACACCTAGGCTTAGTAATAGGTTGGTTGGGTATAATCTACCTCTATTTCACATTATTTCACAATTTTAATCGCTTTTCTGTACTTTTTGTCGCTTTTGTTACTTTTCAGGTTGCCTTTTATGCAACACGTGGATCACATTTGCTGTCAATTTGGAGTTATTATTCTGATGGAAAATGTAATTTTGTTCATAATAGCACTGCTACGCAGGTTCAACATACCGTTACCGAAAATCGTTTGCCCCAATTTATAAATGCTCAATGTCGAGGCAAGGACTCTATATCTTACTAATTAACGGTATGTTATATCCAATTAACCGAACTGCTTGAAGTACACTATGTCAAACAGTACTTTTGCAATTTGATTTACCCGTTTCGTACAAGGCAAAATTTAGTGGAATGTAAGTGTAAAGTGAAGCTTATTTATTTCAAATGACAGGCTTTAGCATATTTATCATTAGCCCTTAAACTTTGACTTCAGCATCCCCAAGAGTGGGGGGGGGTACATATATAGCAGTTCATAAATAGCAGTTCATTAGCTGTTTTCTTGCTTCCCAGTATCTCTGGGTTTCCGTCGTTGTCTTTATAGCTGGATACCGAATCAGGTAGGTCTTCTCCATTTACTCCTGTAGGTTACATTGGGGGCATGTGGGTTGAGTGTATACTCCCAATCTGTGAAGGTGTTTTGCCAAGCAATCGTTTCCGGTACGTAGTCTAAACTCAGCAACGGCTTCGATTCTTGGCCAGTCAGCTATGTCGGAGAGTGCCACTGTCCACTGTTTCTCCTTTGTTTGAGCTTTAAGTTCGTTGCACCTTGAAGTCTTGAATTCTCTCCTGATTAAGGTCTTCATTGTGTGGATAGACATCAGCCAGTCTATGCCTTGCAAAATTGTTGTCCCCTTCTTAACATGTGCGTCAGCAAGCTCATTGCCTTTAATGCCACAGTGACCAGGAATCCATTGTAGGACCACTGTTTTGTTTTTCTCTTCAGGAATCCATTGTAGGACCACTGTTTTGTTTTCTCTCTCAAGAATCTCATTGCCTTTAATGCCACAGTGACCAGGAATCCATGGTAGAACCACTGTTTTGTTTTTCTCTCTCAGCAGCTGATAAATCTCATTGCCTTTAATGCCACAGTGACCAGGAATCCATTAAGATCATTGCCTTTAATGCCACAGTGACCAGGAATTCATTGTAGAACTTACCCATTGCATTTAATGCCACAGTGACCAGGAATCCATTGTGGAATAGAGTTGTCTACATTCCTTTATCTCAGCTGTTTTGGGTGTCTCTCAGTTTTCAATTGAGTTTATTGCTGACTGTGCGTCCGAAAGTATCACTGCTTTGGTGAATTTCGTTTCTAGGCAGCATAATTGGCATAGTGCTATCCTAAAAGGCTCTATTTCTCCTTCGAAAGTGGATCTATTGTGTCTCACTGCTGCGTAGAAAGAGTTCAGAGAAGACTCCTGCACCAACGTTTGCTTGGTTTTCTATGTATGACCCATCAGTGAAGACTTGGAACCATTGATATGCAGGATAGATGACATTGATTGTTTCAAGGGCCAGTGAGCGCATTTGCTCTGGAGGGGTATTTGATTTCCTGAAGAAGTCAAACAGTTGGGTGCAACACACTACATCAGTGTCTGCTAATGGGTTCATGGGTAGAGAGAGGCTTTTTGATTTTTAATTCTCTCTTCAATTTTATGGCTTTCTGTATTAGACCAGATTGCGTTTTCAGATGACTTGGTCTATTCGCATAGGTGATGAAGAATTTATCCATGGGAATGCGCAGTAGCTTCTCATACAGGAACAATGCCTTCTCTTTGATAAGGGAACATGTTGTGGTGCTCCCTGTAACCAGGAGCATTGCCTCAATGGGTGTTGATTTTATCCCTCCAGTAATTATTCGTAATGCTTGGTTGTGTGCCTTCTCGAGTGGTTTGAGAGTCGCCTCTGTGGCTGTAATGAGTGGCTCACAGCAATACAACATTATTGGCTGAATAAACATCTTGTAAGTGGTGTTGAGAGTTGAGCGTGCACATCCCCATACGCTACCAGCATGACGCTTCAGTACATTCAGTCTATTTGAGACTCGTTCTGCCATTGTAGTAATGTGATTTTTCCACGTTAGCTTTGTGTCAAACGTCATTCCGAGATAAGTAAACTTACTGGTTTTTTCTAGGGTAGTATCCTTGTACCTTAGAAGTGGGTTTATGCTGTGACGGGACAAATAAAATGTTTGGAACGCAGTTTTTGCGGTGTTAATTACCATTCCATTATTGTCGCACCAGTTTGCTAGTAGTTTAAGTGCACAATTTAGGGCACTTTCCGTCCTCTCCTGAGCGTTTTTCTTAGGGGCAGAATACCATAGAACAAGATCATCCGCATAAAGAAAGCACTTGATGCCCGTGACTGTCTGTACCAATTCGGCTATGTCATTGATGAAGACATNTTAAGACAGCTGACTGCCGTCTCCAGGCTTGTACGTCTTCCGTTCTTCCAGTCTGATCAGCAGCGTTGCGAAGGGTGTCCCGCTTTCTTTTCCCTGATCAGCAGTGTTGCGAAGGGCGTCCCGCTTTCTTTTAGCTTCCTCAAGGTGTTTGGACCAAAACACTCGATAGTGTTTATGTGTTTAGACCAAAACACTCGATAGTGTTTAGTCTTGCCTATGGGTAATGTGAAGGGCGTCCCGCTTTCTTTTCAGTTCCTCAAGTTGTTCAAGGGCGTCCCGCTTTCTTTTCAGTTTCTCAAGGTGTTCACAGGGCGTCCCGATTTCTTTTCAGTTCCTCAAGGTGTCTAGAACGTCCCGCTTTCTTTTCCGTTCCTCAAGGTGTTTAGACAAAAACACTCGATAGTGTTTAGTCTTGCCTCGGGAAATAGTTTTTTTCGCACATCTAATCATAATATTCGTGATATCATTGTAAAGTTTGTCTGGATGTTGGTTGAAGTTGAGGGGTCTTGTGGGAAGTTCATTCTACAAAAGGTTTGTGAATCTAGGCCAGTCAGCCTTCTTGAAGTTCCGTGATAGCTTAGTTGGCACTTTCCTTGTCATGCTTTAGCTGCCGATGGTAATACTATCAATGACTGGTTTGTGACCAGAACCAGGATCGTCAATTATTTTTCGGCGTGTATGCTCGCTGATGTCGCTCGAAACCAGGAGTAAGTCAGGAGTTGTTCTGGTTCCATTGTAGTGCGAATATGTAGCCGGATCCTCATTGCTGTAAATAAGTTCCAGAGTGTTGCTGTTTAGCATGTCTTCAATTTCCTTTCCAGCTATGTTTGCATCCTTGTAGCCCCATCTGGTGGCATGAGCATTGAAGTCTCCTAATTCTACAGTTTTGTGTGAGATGTTCAGAAAGTTAAAGTTGGGACAATTCTTAGGTGGATTATAGACTGCATATATCTTGAAGTGGTTTTGACATTTCCTAACATTTAATCTGTTTATTTCACATAGGTCTTGTGTCGAGCCCATACGCTTAATTAGATCGTAGTGTGAAGTGAGGCCTTCTTTTACTCCAGTTAGAATTCCACTTGCAACTTGCCCGTTTTTAAGTTGAAGTTACAGGGTGTAACCTGGGAATTGGTAGTACTTCAGTTTGTCATCCGAAATGTTTGCTTCCATAATTGTGAATATATCTACATCATAGGTTTGTAGGATTTTCTGGACTTGGATCTTTTTGTCCTGTGACATCCCTACAGTATTTTACTGGAGGATCTGAAGACATTGTGATTCGCCCTGACGAGGGCGATTTCTCGTATAGCCTTGCGTCAAGCTAATCATAATAAATAAAAGTCAAATCAAATGCCGAGTGATAGACTTTTTTGTCGCACAAAGATACGATGTCCAGGGTGCACCACGTGGAGGAAAGTCTATCGCGCACCCATAGTTAGGGAATAAGATCTGGCCTAACCTACTATCCGAGTATTTCCATTCGTGAGGTGGAGTGGAAATACTTTTCATCCATGGCTTGTGAAGTGCTACTTGTGCACAAATGTCACAAATGTGACAATTGGGCAAAACATGAAATCTCTTTGGAGCATGTGATTGTCATTTTGACAACGATCATTCAAACAACCCCCAACCTGCGTTTGCCTAGGAAATGCACATGATCCATTAGTCATACGGCCTATTATAGAAGAAGGATGCTCAAGCCACTACAGCCATAGCAATTTTAAAACTTGTTTTAGTCCTCCTAACATTTTAATAAGTGAATTATTAAGGCTAGAGAGGCGAAATTACTACTACACCTGTGCGAACGAAAACCAGAACCTTTGCAGAAAATCCATATATTGAGTAAATGCTGAAACTGATGTTTTTTAGATAGCTCGTGTGACCTCTCAATATGTTCAATTATCACAAATGGGTTTAGAGTTACCTCCATGAAAAGAAACCAGACAACCAAACACATCTACCATTCGAAATGCTACTGTATTCCAGGTAAGGCGCGTCCCATTGCCTCCAACGTGCTAAAGTCGGACATTTTGAAAGGGAGGAAGAAAACACATGAGCGAATTCACAACTTTTCTTAGGTATTCCAAGCAATTGCAATTGAACTTGCAATTCTTTCACATCTTTTCATTTATGAATTCGTAATAGTGAATAACTACTTTTGGGAAATATTAAAAAAATAAGATTTGGTGGAAAGTTTTGGAGATAAACGAAGTTTTTAATGCTTTAACTCATCCAATATTAGGATCATTTGCAGAAAAGTAGTTAGTAAATTCGTTTGCAGAACAAAACACCAGTTAGAATTATTGAGTCATGATCGATACTACACTATCACATCGATGCCAATAATTGAGCTTTCCACTTGTACACCAATTCCTATTGTTATTAAAAGCGATGGAGTCAATAACGTGAATGATGGAACTGCTGCTTTGAAAGGATTCCATTAGTATTCACAATATCCTATAAATCACAAGCAGATTAGTCTTGAATCGTTTCCGCAGTCTGTTCTTAGTCCACTTGTTGTAAATTAAATAATCTGTGAGAAATTTGCCAAAATGTGCTCAAATTTAAAGTTAATCGTTGTAATTTTATCGATGACAGCGGAGGAGTTTAAATTCACTATGCATGTTCTCTTTGTATACAAACTATTACTACTATAAATAATGATTGTGCAGATAGAGTAACAGCCAAAGTGACTAGGAATAAGTTGGTCTATGGGTTGGCAATGAGGTCATAATAGCACGTGCACGCATTACTTTTCATGAGACTTCTCATGCAACAATAGAGCGAAGTGCACAACATTGTAGCACCCTAGGATACCCCAAACCCCTACTTCTCAAGCAACTCGAGTAGTGTGAGAAATCAAATCAGTAGAAAACAGCATCAGAAGAGATATTGGGTTTTAGTGACCATAGTGGACACAAAAATGTGGATTGAAGTCTAACACCTCACGATTAAGTGGATTTAAGAAGATAAAAGATAGAGATAAGACTAGGAATCAAGTCGGTGTCTTTATGTCTTTCAGTGAACACAGCAATATCTCCTGTGACACTGACTTTTTGCTATGGAGTAACCCATGGAGACATCTCAGGGTGGGGGGAGG